AAGAAAGAAAGAAAGAAAGAAAGAAAGAAAGAAAGAAAGAAAGAAAGAAAACAAATTGAGAAAAGAAAGGGGATGGAGGTGAAGGAAAATGACCTGAATTATTCCAGACAATAAAAATAGAAAGTTAATATTTAAAAAGTTTAAAATAAAACCAAACCAGCCAAACAAACAAAAAATTGCTATCTCATACAGAAACAGCAGGAAAAATAAAACATATAAGCATAAAGTCTAGCTACAAAGAATTATACATAGAATAAATATTCATTAAAATTTACCAAAAATGTACAATGATGATATATGAGATTCAGGCAACAAAGGATTTTAAAAAGAAAGTTCTGTTCAGTGGGCCATCCCCACAAAAGTTATAGCTATCAGGCAGCCAGTTCACAAAGTTGGTGAATGGGCTCCATGGTATCACATTTTTAAAAGTATTTAGCATACATGAAGGCTAACATATAAAGTGTTGTAAAAGAGAAATTTTAGAAGAACAAAATGCCTTTCTTGAATGCCTTAATTACTCTGGTACAAAAAATCCTGTAAACACTATTCCTGGAAATATATTAAAAAGAATAGGGTTGCTAAGTATAGAAAAGCACAAAAGAATAAGAATATAAAACTCACGAAATGTCATTCACTAATCTATGGTAGCAAACTATCAAGAAAAACTAAATTTGAAAAGTTTGAATAGTGACAATAGAGAGAAATTATACAGAAAAAAAAAACCAGTTCTTTCTTTGTATTTGCTAACAAGCTAGAAGTATTGCCTAGCGTTTTGCCAGTTACATGTTTGACAAATATTTTTCGAATATACTTCTATATCCTATATAGATAACAAAATGATAACTTAAAATGTAAGGCAGTTGTAAGGCATTGCTTTATAGTATAAATATGTCTTGATAGTCTACAGAATAATTTAGTCATTTATTGTCAGTTGAAATTATTTTTAATTCTCACAGCTTCCAAAACTGGATAAGGTACAATAAAGTGAACATACCAGTGAGGGTTAGGTTTTTGAATTTGTAATTTCACATTAAACACCCACAGTGCTTTCAAAATTGATGAGAAAAAAAATAAATTGAATTATTGAATTAGCTAGGTACAAAAATTGCTGATGTATGTTTAATGTCTACTATCAAAAAAATGACATGATCTGGAGGTCAGAGTGTGATTGACAGACTAGGAACACCATGCATAGATAAGATCACTATGGATCTTCCTGAAGGTTATGAGGACAAGATGAAAATATATTTGTCTGTCTTTTCAGCTGTCTTTCTTTAGGATATCATTGGGAAAATCCCAGAGGAAATCTCAAAATCATAGCAGTGTTTGAAAAGACACAAAGCAGAGCATTAGCTTAAAAAAATGTGTTTTCTGATAACATTTTTTCATCTGCATTTCTACAACTCATTAGTAAAGAAACATTTAGCTGTTTCTGAATTTACAAAAACCATGTCACCATGCTTCATGTTAACCCCTCTGTAGCTCAGCTTTCTAAACTCCATGTGACTCTGTTTCATGTAATTTAAATATTATTCTGTTTGTTGCTATTGATACTTAGTCCATTAATGTTTTTAGATTATAATTGTTACATCCCCCTTTTGCGTATTCCTTTGTGCAACACCAGGGTGACCCTTTCTAACAACCTTGATAGACCTGTGGGCTCATTCTAACTATAGCTAAATATAAGTTATACAGCAACTAGGTACAGAATACCCATCAAATGAGTAACTAGGTACAAAATACCCATCAAATGAGTACTACAAAATATGTTTCAATGCACAATACTCAATTATTTTGAAATAACATATTTTCAATTACCTGATTAAGAATATCTGTTTCTTTACTATCTCATTTAAAGGAAAGATCATTTAAAGCAAATGACAGGAAACAATGTCAGTGAAGAGTATGCTTTATGTCTTAAGTGAATGCATTTTTAAATCTTGTTTACCTTTACCTTTTAGAAAAGATTGAAATTCCCTGCTGTTGTCTTCACTAACTTTCCCTTCTAGGGAGAGGTATGCATTCCTCATCTCGTCTGCCGCCAGAGAAACATTGTCAACCTTCTTCTGCAGAAGCATGAGCTTCCTCTCCTGCTGGCTCAGTTGCTCTGCCATTTTTTGAATCATGGCTGCATGTAGAAGAGAGAGAGTTGGGACCATTCAACATGCAGACTTAAAACCTGTTAAAACTTATGCTGTATAATGGAAACTTAAGTAGACTATACATGTGCTTATATATTTAAAAATACAGATTATAGATGAGTGGCAACGTGAACGATGCAGCAACTTCAGGGGACACATTTACAAAAATATTGCAATGTTATAATGTCTTTAATTTGTATAATTTGACCTTTTAAAAAATATCTTAGACATTCAGAATAAATAAAAAGTGTTGAGGGTCAGAAAGCCAAAGTAATGAGCTTGCAATCACCCAGCTAATGTTCATCGCTACTCTTAAACCATATTCAAGGGTCATTACCCTACTCTTTGTCACCACAAGCCTTCTTGAAGTTTTCTCCTTGCTCCTCCCAAAGGAGCTCCCCTACCACCATCCACCATCATCCGTCATCCATCATATCCATCATGAATTCTGATATATATGATGTGAAGTGATCTCTTTTTTGAAAATAATGTAATATGTCATCATGTTAAAAGCCATAAGCTAGACTCAGAAAAACAAAAATTATGTTTTCCATCATGTGGAAAATCTAGGTTTGCATATACTCACATATAGGATATATCACACATATATACACACATATATATCACATATATACTCACATATATATATATATATATATATATATATCAGAAGACATGACCATAGGAAAACTGTTCTGTTCTGTCTTTCTTTCTATCATATATATATATATATATATATATATATATATATATATGAACCCTGTGCAGTTTCCCCAAATAATTAGCAAAACAAAACAGAACCAAGAAGCATGTTAATCCATCACCACCGAAATGGTATGGGCAATCATAGGGTTGAAGGTGATAGAGATTACAGTCTACGACCTGGGTCACCACAGTCTTGCTTCTGCTGCAGGCCTGTTCCTTGGTCAACAGCTGTGTGACTTTCAGCCTGGTTACTGTATGCTAGTTGCCGCTGTTCTTTCACTAGACAGAAGCAGAGAGAATATCAAGTGTTAGCATTGGAAAGGCCTCCTGCTTTCCAGTCCTGAGTGATAATGGGGCTGACATTCATTTTCCTGTGTACTGAAGCGTGATGAACAGCAGACTGCTCTGCCCCATCTGCAGGACAGTGTAATGCCACAAGCACTCAGAAGTTAAAGCTCTAATTCAGTCTCAGAAAAAAAAAAAACTATTCAAAATTCATGTGGGTCAAAAATGGATGGAAGCCTTTGCAGCTACAGCCTGTGATACTGAGTGGACTTTACTATCCATTATGGTAAAAGCGACGACAGCCTTGTAAGTGACTGATTTGTCAATAATGCATTTCCCAACTGCTGACTGCTGGAAGGAGTAAAAGCTGTACATGCTTTCCTAAGCCCAAATCAGCGAGTTAATTAACAATGCCATGTGAATAGGCTGTTCCAAGATTTAAATACATGGCTTCTGATAAACTAATGGTCAAATTAAATAATTACAGGTATATCTTCAAGGCAATCAACCTGTAAAGACAATGATGTTCCATAAAAACAGAAATCTTTATATCTATATTTCAGAAGTTCTATTTCTAACAAATCTGATATTGTAAATGTTTATATAATAGTTTTCTGGGAAAACAATTTTTGAGAGACTCATTTAAAATACTGAAAGAATACATCTTTAATTTACAAGCTTTGAAAGAACAAATTTATTCAATGATGCCTACATGCAGACATGTGCAAATCTGCTGTCTAGCTGGATTTCTTTCTCTATGAAATTCTGGGACAATGAAACTTTACTCGTGGTGCATGTTAACGACCTCCCTCCAGATGCACATGTGGCCATGCTGACAATTCTTAAGTTTTCCTTTTCCGTAAAACATGTCCTCGGTTTGCTATTAATTTGGGTTTGTCTCCATTGTTACATTGAATTATGCAATGCTGTTCTTCAAGGGCTTGGGCTAAATAAATGAATTTCCATTTTGTACAGTTTGTTTTGATGCCTCCTCCCGCCATAACGGATGGGTTATTTAGAGGAAGAACGTGATGTAGAGCTTAGAGAGAAATGTAGTGGTTTGGGAATTAGGGTAAGGGAAAGATTAATCTCCTGTTACGCCCCAGCAATAAGGTTCTTATGGTCTAAATTCAAATTGATTCATGCAAAAGTATCTATGGAATAACTGCATAACTCTCCTGCCATGGCTTCTCTGTGTGTGGGATAATAAAACATGTTTCTGACAATTTCCATCTCTGCTCACTCAAGCACATAGCTAAAGAGCAAAGTAATCATTAGCAAATTTTAAGTCTCTGCAGGAACCATGACAACATTCCCTGGGAAATTTTGAGCCTGCAGCTTCAGAACCCCCGATGTAAAGAACTCTATGATGGGACACCAATCTCTCTTTGACCAAGCTGGTCACGTGATTCTAATGCAGGCTAAAGCTTGCGAACCACTGGAGGATCCACATCTTCTGCAAGCACACCTTACCATGCCCCCTGTTTCTCTGAGCAGCTACGATGCAGACCATAATCTGTAAATACTGATAGCAGGACGAACCAACCGGGTAACAGTGGCTTTCCACGTCCTTACTGCTTACTTTCTGCGGCTAGACCATAGCAAGAAAAAGCGATGGGTATTTAACAGGGAGTGAGGTATTTGGAGGTAAAGGGTGGTCAGGGTGGTCAGGGCCATGGCGGTGTGACACAGGCTAATTGTCATGCTAACTCTCTCATTCTCAGCATTTTATACATACCATGCATCCTTTGCTTAAGAGTATAGTTTGTTTGTTTCTTCAATTCGATTATAGATAGGAACCAGAAGTCGCTACTGTTTTGGAAACACTAAAATATTTCTGCATTTCCTGGTTCATTGGACAATTTGGCAACTGGACGCATTTGTATTTCAAAAATGTTAAGTGTTTTGGTGATTTTGATTCATGGCTCTGGTCACAATACACTAATTTAGAAATGAATTGAGATATTTTTCTAAATAAAATAAAATTTATTGATAAAAGACAAAAAAATTCTATTCTCACAGTAAAGCTGAAATACAAAAGTCAGTCATCACAAAGTTTAAATACGATCCCAGTTACGACCAGAACATGATTTATTACGAGTCTGAGGAGTAAAAATCACGTGTCCATCATTCCATAAAGACGTGGGCCATTACAGGAAGTAGCATCGGCAGGAAGTGCTCATGACCTCTCCTTTCCTTCATGAGCACATTATCATTCTCTCTGAAGCTCAGACAGTAGGGCAGAGCAAATGGGCTGCAGAACATGAAAGACGCTTTTGTTGTCTTCTCATTAGTCATATCTAGTGTGACTATGAGCTACTGATTCTTAACATTCCTCAGAAGAAAGCTCCCTTCCACTATAAAGCTAGGCTGCCAGTCTTTATTCCTACCTCGCTGTACACATACTCCACACTCCAGGTTCTAGACAGAGTAAACCAACGTGGTTTATCAATTGTCTAATATTGAAATATGATCCATGCCTTTCAGCAAGTACATAGTAAACTCTACAGTAATAAATAATTCATCTTAAAACTATAATATTATTTCAAGCTAATTGTGTATATGTGACATATAAAGGATATATTCTTCAGCATCTATGGTGAATGGAGTTCCTATCCTCAGGACCATCTGAAACTATTCCTATGTCACATACTATAATAATAATTCTAAGACAGAAATATCATGGAAAATAAATTCTATGATACTATTACTCTTTGTGGAATAAATATGCAATGGAATAAAAAAAAACTATGTTTAGGAAACTGAAGGTCAATTAAATAAATGTTTAAATATTATTACTGAAATTAATATTTTTATACATAACTTTTAAAACATTGACTAAAATGTAAAAGGCATGAACGTGATTGAATTTAATAGTTTTAACTCAGGAAACAGGAACAACATCTGTAATATTATTAATAATATAGTCACATATATGAGCACTCAAGAAAAATATTTTCTATGAATTTTGCTTGTGTGGTCAAGTGTAGTCAAGCTGGGTAGTATACAACTGTAATTCCAATGCTTGAGAAGATGAGGCAGGAGGATTGCTAAGAGTTACACACCTGTATAGGTTAAAGAGAAACTCTGTCACCTACAAAAAACATAAACAAACAAACAAACAAACAAAACCAAACAGAAACCCAAACAAACAAACAAGCAAAAAACCCATCACTGTTGGAAAACAAAGAAAAAAGAATATAATACATTTTCTAGACAAAGAGAACAATAGAGCAAGAGTATGAAAATCAGCCTGGAAACCCAGACAAAGCTTTAGATATAATCCTGCAGCTATCGCTCACCATATTCAGACATTTCAGACAGAGACAGGATGAATATAGTGTCAGCAAGCGGCTGAGCATGGTTGTGCTGGGATTCAAATATAAACATCGTATTTCCTATTAGGTGACAGTCTAAATACAGAAGAGGACCAGAAAGGCAGAGAGAGCTCCTGCTATAGATTCAAACACAAAACACCGCAAGAGTGTTCAGGCTTTAGTAGTAACCACTGGGACCAAGGTTAAGGAGGCATTTTATAAATTATTTTCATGTAAATAATTTTACATATATGTGATATGAAAACATCTATATTTGAAACAGATGCTATTTGAAACACATTTGAAATATTTACATATATGTTATTTGAGACCAAATATGATGTGATCAGTTTGCTGAGAAAATAAGGTCTTTTCTAGTAAATTAAATGCAAGTGACAAAACTATCAAATTGACAATGTGTTTTCATTGTTGTTGCCCCAACTTGAACCAAATGGTGCTTGCACAGCTCAAGAAGTAGCTGCATTTGCAATTGCTCTAGGAATTCTAATGATTTAGCTGTCAAGGAAGGGACAACATTTAAAAGTATACAGCTTTTATAGATTGCAAAACACTAATGTTATCACTTTTCTTTCAGTATAGCCCAGAGATCGAGAACATTGGTATTTATAGACATTACAAATATACACAGATCTTGTGTCACCAAAAGGCTCTGGATCTAAATGGGAGCTCTTCAGAGAAAGTCATAGCAGTTTCTTATACTTAATCATTTCTCTGAATGTGACATTTTCCTGGTGTCATCCGTGGCCAAAGAAAAAGCATGCAGTAACCAGGAGGCATCCAAAAGTCACTAGGGATTATTAGAGTGTGAGTGGCTTATGTTGATGAATCCTGTGACTTGACATCAGGTTCTATATTTATTATGGCTAATATGTGTGTTAATGTAAGAAAATAAATAATTCATTCTTACTATAGTTTATATATTAATATTACTAAAATAGCGGGAAACTGGTTGAACAATACTCTTGTCCCTCCCCATAGTTCTTGGGCTCAGTTTCAATATTTGCTAAAGCTTTTGTTTAGATAGTTAAGGTGTGTTTCAATCACTATTACTTCATGAGAACAAAATCAAACCTGCTTATTTTACTTGCTATAAAGCATGCCATGCCATATGCTTTAATATGGAAGTTACACCATTACACTTCACTTAGCATCTTGCTAGGACTGGGAGTCTTATCTCTGATACAGATACACATAAGTGATACTCGCACTCTGTCTCGGTTATTGTCCTATCATAGAGAGACACCACGAACAAGGCAACTCTTATCGAAGAGAGTATTTAATTGGGGGCTTCCTTATAGTTTCAGAGGTTAGTCTATCATTAACTTGGATAGTTTTTTCTATATTACCTAGTTTAAACCAACTCTAAACATTCAGGAAGTTAGAAGCCCAGCTATGAGGTCAACTGAAAAACAGAAAGGAAGATAACACTGAACACCAAAGCCTAATTTTCTATTGACCTTAGAGTAAACACAGCCATAAAATATCATTCATGAATCCTGGAAAGAAGAATTTTGTGTTATAAACAGAGAAACACATGGTGATGGGCCAGAGAACTTAGAAGTATTAAAGCAGGACCTGGGAAACATGAAGACAACCACTTTTGATCTAATGACAAGTGCAAGAGGAAAGAAATCTGGTTGAGTCAGAGAGATGGCTCCACCTACAGGCACTTGCCCCAAGCCTGACTACAAGGCATCTTACCTCAAATCTCAGAACAAGGAAAAATGCATCGAAATATCAAGCAAAATCCCTTAGTTTCTTAACACATTCTGCTCTTTTAGGATTAAGACCTAGATGACAGAGAATTGAATATTCACATTTTGGTGAAGTTTTAAAAAAAACTAATCTGAACAAAAAATACAATAGAGTGATACATTTCAAATGTTCTTATGCATGTAAACTAGGTGAAAACATTGCCAAAAATTGCCTCCAAACTGAAGGCAGTTTAACACCACACGAGGATCCTTACAATTGTCACATGAAACTCTCTGCTCCGGAATTTGTTCCCTGCCAAGGTTGTTAAAAACTTGAAATGCCTGTTTTACAAATTCAAGAGTTCATGTTATCTTTCCCTGGGTGTTTGTCAACTCAAGTTCAATACTTCCATTCATACCAATTTATAGTCTAGGATTTTGACCAGCAGCTGCAGAGGGCTGATAGCATCTCTGACAGACAGTCTGTTACTTCCCTGTGATGAGGAGCCTGGTTGATCGAATTTTTTTTAATTTTTTGTTTGTTTGTTTAGAAATCTTTCTGTCTCTCCAGGTGTATTCTCTTCCACAAAGATTGCTGAGAGTTTCCTGGTAATCTGTCTCCCCTTTTCCATAAACACAGAGTTTTTGATTTCGTGAAGTGTAGATTTCTAGGTCTCTTTCCCTTGTCCTCTTTACATGACAGACGCAGCTACAGGAAAGGATTAACTTAAGCCAATAAACTGTAAAGACAGTGTGTACTTGTGTTTAAAAGGCAGCCTGGGATTTTAATTGTGCTCCTTTGGTCTTATGTTTCTCCCTGAGATGCAAACTCTGACATTAGTGATCAAGGACTCAGAGGCAAGGTCAGCAGGTGTCCAGAGCAACAGCTTTCTTATTAGGTGTTTTTTCCTCTTTAATTAGGCAGGTTTTATTTGCATTTTTAAAGATACTTTTCTTATGCCCTTTGAGCCATATGGCGGAAGTCATTAGTGGTAACTCGGTAACGAGGGTGCTCCCTCTTTCCTGCTTATTGCCAGAAACATTTCCTCCACAAGACAGACTTCTAGCTGGTTGTGTAGCATCGGGTAAAAAAGCAGGGTGGCTGCTCAGTGTGCTCATGAAGATGCATTAAGTTAGTGAAATAGGCAGTGTGGCATTCAGAGACTCTGAGAATTTATATCCTTTAGCCAAAAGCTACACCATGTTATGGAGCAAGATGCTCATTGGACAGTACTGAAAAGAACCAGTTTTGTGAAAATATAGGAAACACGTAATTTTTCTCTTTCACATAGGATAAATTTCAGCATGATGAGTTTGGAACCCATTTTAAAATAGTCTCACCACAAAAACTATGTATTTAAAACATAAGTTCAAGCAGTTGTTTTATAACTGGTTGAATATTCTCACATTTGAAAAATAAAATATTTGTTATGTACTTATAATGTACAATAAGAGGCTAGTTGATTTTATATCTGCACATATCTTTTCTGTATTCATATCTGTGATAGATATTTTTAAGTGTAACTTTATAGATTTTTTTTTCTGTTTCCAGAAAACCTGTGTAGGCTCTAACATTTAACAGACTTGCAAAAGGACCGTCTCTAATCCAACAGCAACTGAACATAAATTACTTTCTTTTGTTATATAAGAGCAAATCATAATTTCCTTCTCCCACATCAGAATATTTTGGAGACATCTACTGGAGAAGTACGTAATTGCAAATTTTATCTCATAGGCTTAAGTAGTATGTTACTATTGACATTTAAGAAAATGTCTCAGGCTGGAGAGATGGCTCAGAGGTTAAGAGCACTCACTGACTGATCTTCCAGAGGTTCTGAGTTCAATTCCCAGCAACCACATGGTGGCTCACAACCATCTGTAATGGAGCTCCGATGCCCTCTTCTGGTGTGTCTGAAGACAGCACCAGTGTACCACATACATAAAATAAATAAATCTTTTAAAAAATTGTCTGTACTATGATTTATGCAAATTAAAATATTCTTCCTAAAGGGAAAAATAAAAGAAGATTTGTGATCATGACCATAAGCCATACCTAAGTGAAAACTAATTCTTTGATGTTGGATCTATTCTTTCTTTCCTTTCTCTCTGTCTCTCTGTCTCTCTGTCTCTTTCTTTTTGTCTCTGTCTCTGTCTTTCTCTGTTTCTCTGTCTTCTCAGTTTCTCTGTCTCTGTCCTGTCTTTCTCCAAAACTTTCAGTCCCATAATTAAAAACAAACAAAACTCCCCAACAACAACAAACCGACCAACAAACAAAAATCTCAAAACCCCACCACCACCATCAAAGAATTCCTTTTGATACATCCCCATAAGAAGGGGATTGCAGTATAGAGCAAATATTCAAATTAAAACTTTGTTTCATTTTTTTTTAATTTTTTTTGTTTTTTTTGTTTTAATATTTACTATCCTGGAATTCTGTGACTTCTTTTCCATCTACATGCATCCAGTCTGCCATAGTGATTAAGAATCGATTAGCAGGTACACGAGCCTGAAGGTGGGCACACACAGCTCTCCGCAGTTGAGCCTACGACATACTTTGACACATTGCTTTGCTCCCTGCCACCTGCAGTCAGCCATTCTGTGCAATGGCATGTGTAATGGCAGCCGACATTTCTGAAAAGACACTTTGCAAGCCAATATTTTAATTGTTAAGAAATAATCATAGGATAAATAGTATCAAAGTATCTTTCATGTAAGAAGAGAAAAATCTTAAACACAATTCTTACTATTATTGTCAAGGTTTTTTAAATAACATAAAAAAAATGTGGGTAAGGAGCAAACGCACCATAACACTTGAATACATTTTCACACTACATAAAACTGAGTTCTTTGAAAGCAATACAATATTTGGATGTGGAGAGTTTATGGGGCTGCTTGGCAGGAATCTGACATTGGCCAAGGACAAGGAAATGGGCTTTAGGCAGGAATCTGACATTGGCCAAGGACAAGGAAATGGGCTCCTTGGCAGGAATCAGACATTGGGCCATGACAAGGAAGTAAGTTCAGTCAGGAATCTAAGTCTTAGGCTAGAACAAAGAAGTAGGCCTCAGGCATGAATATGACTGTGGGCTAGGACAGGGAAGTAGGCTCAGATATTTTTGTCATCCTGCTGAGCCCTTAGAAACAGCAGTCATGAGAGTGATCACCTGGGTGATCACAGGACTTTCTATATTGCCTTGTTTGTTCCCTGACTATTTGTATCTATTGTATTGTTGGTTCCTCAATCTAGAGCTGACCTAAATACTTGCACGTAATTAAAAGGGTTTAAAAGAAAAGTGGGAATAAACAAACCTGCCTTCAGCCTCAGAACTGGCTGGGGTCATGCTGGGATTTTATCTAATCGTCTCTTTTCTTTTAATCCTCACTCCTGTGCTAGAAAACCTGTTGACTGATCAGTTGGATCTTTTTCAATTATTTTGTATCACTTCATTTTCAAATATTTTTAGTATGGAATATGTTTTCTGTAAAAGGTAAAGCATCCACGTTACCATCTGAAAATGTGTTGGATTTTTATGTTATCTGTGAAATTTAAACCAGACCCAGAGAAAACAGTAGTGTGGCAAGCTTGCTCAGAGAGCCTTACTGCATGGGTTGGCCAGCCATGAATAATATCCCTGACTGAACTGCATGATTCTTAGCGCTTCCTTATCTGATTTTCTGTTTCTTAATGTGACTCATAATGGTTTCTCCACAGTTACATTAATTTTTAATCACAACCTCCTACACTATTGATTGAATTCCCCAGCACTGCTAATGCCCTTTCTTGTAATATTCATTCACTTAAAATATGAATGCAGATGTCACATCTTATTTTTCAAAGAAAATCTTTTTAAAGCCAAAGCAAAATAATAGTCACATATTTGTCAGGTTACAGCAGGTTACTGTGTGTTTGATCAGCCTTCCAGCAGAAAACTCTTAAAAAATCAGCTTAAAAAAATGCTTCTTTCATTCATAGCCCCATTACATCAAATAGTTGAACTGGAATAAAATCAGAGACTTGTATAATTATTTTGTATGGGTTACTTCTAGTCATATTTATTTAAAATTGAAAATTAGAATTTGTAATAGTCTCAAGAAGGAGTGTCTTTGATAAGAATAAATAATGCAGAGAGATCTTCTTATTCATTTGCTAAAACTAACACGAAGAACAAGGAAGGGGCAGGTTTTGAGACTGTGGGTGATTGTTACTCAGGAAGCTCTAAAACAGTAATACGCCTAAAGTCTGGCTTCACACTAATTTTCCTCAGTTCAAAATAGTTAGTTTCTCAGAATCTGTTATTATGATGTTATTATTGGCATATACCTTTGAGCTGACAGTTGTGTCCTATGTATCCAGGACAGCATCTCCATTCTAATGAGGTGACAATCTTATGCTGAGTTCTAGAGAAGAAAATAATTGATACAAAATTATTTGCTTCATATTAAATAGAATTAGGACTTATAAAGTACTTAGAATAATTCCTAAAATCCAGTAACCATCTAATCTTTGTACTAATATAAAACCATAAATCTATCACCAGTATTATATTCAAAACATCTAAAAGGATTTTTGAATATGCAACAAAAGCATGAGTGGTTTCACTACTGGTATTTTAAATTACTATCTGTCATGACATTCTAAAGTTTTTCTGTGCATAATGTTTTCTAGCTAGATCAAGGTTAGAACTTACTTTAATTTCAGCTTTAAAACATAATATTATAATATTTTTATCTATTTCAATTCCCATTACTTCCTAAATGATTATAGTTGAAAAAATCTGTATTTCCTTTATGTTTTAGTTTTCCAAGATTCAAAATTGTACTAGTCTGCTTTTTCTCTGATATTACATTTGCGGGGGGGGGGGGAAGGGAGGGGACATAGTGGGAAGAGAGAAGAGGGGGAGATATTGAATGTGAGAAAACACTTATAAACTGAAATCACAGAATGGAAGTGAATAAATTACAAGATTTAAATAAAACAATAGCACTCAATTATAGGCCTTGTATGTATGGGAATCTAAGATATAAGTATAATATATTGCTGTTAACCATAGCACTCCACTGTGCAGGTGGTATTTACCAAATAGGTGTATGATTCAGGTAGACATAATCCTACTTAATCAACACATTCCTTCTATAATAAAGATAGTATTAATGTGGTGTACTGAGGAACACAAATAATAGATAAAATAATTTGTTCAAATGTCCATATCTAAAATTACTGGAACTACACTGGAACTAGGCTTATATGTGTGATAAATATGCTGCAGAATTTTGTCACAATCAACTGTTGTGACCTGCTCAAGAGTTGTATGGGAAGGAATGGCATTGCTTGGTTTTCAGTTTCTTCTGTAGCATGACAGATATGTCAGCATGTTGGAGGTTGTTCCTCAATAGCAGAGTAAAGTACAAGATCCTTTCCAGCCCTAAATGCATGCTAAACCAGTCAGTTACATCTACTCCAATAAGTCGTACCCAGTGAATAGTTCTGTTGGAGAAAACATCATTACTAACTCCACTGCTCAAGCTAAGTAAGAAAGGAAGATAGAGTTTATTTAGTTTGTTGGGTTGACTCTAGAATTTAGAACTTGGCTGAATCATGCTTGAGGGTTAGTGCTCTGGCTCTGGAAAACTGAATGTCTATTGCATGCAATGTTGATATAATAAAAGAAAAACAGACAACTATTATATAAATACTGAAATCATGAATGAATGGAAAGACCCAGTGAGATGGACACAGAAGACCAGAAAGGAATGAGTAGCTGGGTTTAGAAAAGAGTAATGAACAGGAGAGGAACTCACCTTGAACCAATAAGATGAGCAATACAATAAGGGTTACTGTGGTAATATTTTCATTACCAAAGATTTAACAGTATGTTCTTTGTGCCTTTCTTGTCAGGAAAATTGTCACAAAGGGAAAAACAGCTGGAAGCAGGGCCACACAGCTTAGCACTCAAAATCCCTAAGACATACTCAGTACTCTGGACCATGAATCCCAGTCCTCAAGAGACTCAGAAACACCTGGATATATGTGTCCTTACTATGCATTATTCCAGACTGCTGATGCATCAGACTCATTCCCTGAGTTATTTGTATGATAATTCATGTATCATCAGTCTCAGGGCTTGAATAGCGGTGCTAGTTTTATTGTAGATTCTTTATGAACATCTCTAGTCAGGCTACAGTCACTATATGGACTCAGAGAATTTATCAAGAGCTCAGCCTTACATTTTATGACAAATATATATATAATTTCTCTCTATATAATTGTATATATAATGTATAGATAAAACAATATATAATGTGTTCAAATATGTAATGAACAACATGCTCACTAAGACAGAGCTGCTTTCTCATTCACAGTCACAGCTAATGGTCATCTATATTTTAAATACAAACCAAGTTCTATATGGATTTCTTTCTTACCTAGAACAAAAGAAAATTACTACTAAATCTTTTAAAGTATGTGTGTATTTCATGAGGATCTCAGCTCAGGGTTGTTGACTAGGTTACACAACTGTTATAAGAGTGACTACAGAATGGAGGATTCCATAACAGAAGGTTAACATGCCTTAAATACGGGGATGCTAGGCAGTAAGCTAAGTATATGACTGTAAAACTCACATGATTCTCAAAGCAAATATATACAACAGAAATCTTTTTATTAGTAGCGATCACATCTTGTTTATTAAAGCTCATAAATTTAATCTAAGGACCAGTCATGCAGTGTCTGGGATTATGTATTTCCTGTTTACATGCACAGTATCTGTTTTCAGAAAACATTACATACCTTTGGGAACTAAGTCCACTAGACCAGCCACAGCATCTTCTCCCATTTGGTACATAAGAACCATTAGTGTCCAGTATCACTATCGGCATTAGCTTGGTATGTACACGAGCACACCAATTCCTGAGGGAGCAATCATTGTTGGTAGGAAAAAACTCATTGTTAGTACTATATTTGTCAAAATCATTTTCTTAGACTTTTACTTTGATATATCAATAAGATGCTTTAAAAATATTTATTGACCAATATTTAATATTTATACAGAAAAGAAAATGCATATTTAATGCTGTATCCAAAGAGATTTTAAGAACTACTACATGATGAAAATAATCAGAACTAAATTAAGGCTTGCATTTTATTATTACAAGACAAAAATCTAAGCCTGCTCTTATATCTAATTTAAGTGTTTATACTGAGAACAAAGAGAAAGATCTAGTTCTATTACTTTGTGTAATAAGATCAAGCTAACAAATTGAATCATGTGTAGAAAGACAGAAATATGTAATAAATGATGAAAGTATAAATAAAAAGATAAAAGTAGATTATTTTCCAATGATGTGGTTGTAAATAAGAGACAAAATATTATAGCTAAAAATTAGGAATCAAGCAATATAACTAAGTTCATCATAAATTTTTATAATATATGGCAAAATAATTTAATATTCCACTAAGTAGAAAACACACTTCTATGTACCATCAGAAAATTTAACTTGATCCTATTTGAAATAGCAAACAATAAGAAAAATGTGCTTTGAAATAAACTTACAGAAGCAGTCTAAGATTCCACACAAAGGAACATCAATTGGTGATATGAATCCATGAAGATGCCCAATGCAAGCATGTCATAATTCTCTCTAATAGCAGACACTTTACAAAGTAAAACATAACCTTTCTATGAAGTCTTAAGCCAGATCAGTCAGCCTATAAGGTAACTGCATAGTTTTGTCTCTGACACAGAAGAGTCTCAGATGATACGTATATATTTATAAAATATGTATTTTACGGTATATGTGTATCTATAAAAACCATGTTTCTAGATATTGTTTAGTGGACTATACCACTTCGTGCTGCTTTGCATGTGACATGAGCCCAATGTATATAGCCTGGTATTTTGCTGGGAGAAGTTTTCAAATTGCAGCTTAGAAGAGTGTGTCTGCAAAGGTAGAACACTTTTAAAATGAAATAAAAATTAGATTTTTGTTAAGAAATAGTTAGATATGTGTGGAGAATTCATACAATGAGGGAGATGGCAGAAATGTCACAATGAAAGTCAACAGAAGGTTCTCCAGAGCCTGACAACAGAGCCTGTATACGAGAATAACAGCATTTAGTGTTGAACACAAAGTCAAATGAATAAAACCAGAATAACACTTAAAAAATAGGGATTATACATGCAGCAAAACTCCAGTAAGTTGACAAAGTTAGATGAATCAGAGATGCCATGGGTGGAATTAAAAGCAGTAATTAAAACGGATAAATATTTAATTATAAAGCAACACAGCCCATGCAGTCAGTCTCAAATAGAGTGAGTACCACCAGAATTGTGGGCATTAACAATGCGAGTCCAATGAACTAGATGAGATGTAAGAACATGCGATACAGAGCAGAAGATTTAAAGACCAGAAATGCAAATGTAAACTCTTTATATGATTACATAACCTGAGTTCTTAAAGAGAGTGACAGGGAGAAAGATGAGGGTAGAATAAACATTTAATGAAACAAAAGAAAATCTCGAAGTTTAATTCTTTTCAAAGAATGTCTAAGATGCTCACAGAATTCCTAGAGGGCAAATCCACACTCAAGCCTGACTTAAGCACATCTCATCAAATTCCAGAAATAAATGCATAGAAATAAAAATAATAACACTAGTTTGCTTATTCTTTGTTCTAGCTGTTGTCCATGTAAAGCTCCCATACAAAGTGGAAAAAATATAAATATAGATGCTAATATGTAAGGTTACTTATTATACAAAGATTTTTTTAAAAAAAAGGATGAAGAAAAGCAAACAACAAAAGAGTAAAAAGGACTTATTTAAAATCAAGAAGAGTACAGTAAAGGATTTTAAAAAGAATTAACTATACTTATGAAAATCCCATGATGATCCTAAAACTTCAAATGACCAATTTAAAAGAAAGGCAATACAATTTTCATATGAGTATTTGTATGACAGAGAGATAGAGCGGTACCATCAAAACAGTGCCATCACATCTATATTCTTGGGAGTTCAAAATGAAACATGCCTTCTCTGTGATATGAAACCGAAGCATCACTTGCAAAGAACTTTTAAAATTCTAAATAAAGAGACAAACACCTGCCCAAAACAGTGAACTTGCCAGTTAGCAGCAGACATCTCTGATCCAATGGAGATACAGAGAGCTTCACAGCAAAAGCGCTCCTTGCCTGACTTATAATCAGGTTTATGCTACTGTAAAAATAAACTCATTAAATTTCATTTCATACTGATTAAATTTCATTTCATTAAAAAATATAATTTTAAACCAAGTTATTCAAAAATAGAGACTTAAAATATAAAATCAATTATGCATAAATGATGACCAACAGTTCATTAGACAAACTAGAAGCCCTTTGCATCTTCCCTGACTGCACTCTCACTGACTGCAGTGTTGGAGAGGCCAACTTTGAAGTTTTCACACTCTAGGCCAGAGTCTTTCACCATGGCATGACATTCTATTCCTAGGCTCTAAGGGCAGTGACTCTGCTGCTGGCCAGCAACAGGTACTGAGAAAGTCTAATGTTGATTCTTTATACTTTCCAAGTGAGTAGGTAAAAGTGTTCCTCAAGGGGAAAGAAGATATTTTTGGTCAGGAGCAAAGTTTAGCTTGCTGAATCCGAAAAATATGGAGTGAGACAGGGATTCTATTTCAACTTAAAAACTAACCCTCTTGTGCATACTAAAATGCAGTTGGAATAGTATACCTTGCTTTCTACATTACATTTGGAAAACTCAGTCATTAAAAGAGCCAGTAAAAGACTAGCTTTAGAAAAACTTCCACTAAGTGATGAATCAGGTCGCAAACATGTCTGTTTATCTTGTGAGCAGAGTGTACACAGCAATGAGGGCACCCCTGACAATGTCCACACAGAAACACGGCTGTAAGAAATAATGACAACAGTCTCAGAAGTACCAAGTTAAGGTATGCAAGCCCTTGGAATTCAAATGAAGGCCATCCTGATAATGCAGTTTTTAGAGTTAGACTTCCTTATTCAGTCATTTGGCTTGAATTGACAGTGTAGTAGGGAAGCACCTCGCCCTGGAGATGCTTGTAGTAATGTGAACCAGAGAATCCCTAACCGAAACCAAGCTGGGACTTGGGATGGGGGACTTCATCGATTGAATAACCTTTTCTTCCTGGAATTCCATTATTGAGATACATTTGGAAATCAATGTGTCTTCTAGTTACGACTGCGAAGCTGTATTGATGAAATCTCAAAAGAAATCTTAAGACACAAATATGACAAGACCAGTTCACGTGGCAACATGAATAGAGGAATCTCATGGGGGATGAATAGCTACAGGCAATTAACAACTGCTGAGAGGGGGTGAATCAGTCTTCTCCAGGGAGGATCTTAATTGGATTTTAACTACCAAGTGGTCAGGTCTAAAAACTTACACATATAAGCAACACTAAACAATGTGTGTGTGTGTTTGTGTTTATAAATATATATCTAACAATAATAATTATAGAAAAAGAGCCTAGTAATTTGAGAGCAAATTGTAGGTTATAGTACTAGAGATGTTGGAGGGAGGGAATGAAAGGGGAATAATATAATAGCTACATTTTAATTAAAAATAAAATGAATTTATAAAACCCAGACACAATGGAAAGCATCACGATAGATGATGTGAAGAAGACAGTGTATCATAGGCAGGAGACAACATGGAGAAAATGCTATATTTAGATGTCAGGAAAGAGTAAGTGAACCAATGAGATAAACCAAGAATTCTATAGAACTTTCAAGAGACTGAGATTGGGAATCCAAAAGAAAAGAACAAAACCATATCAGGAAATTTCTGAAATATAGGACAAGACATTTCTCACTGTTAGGTGAGTCATCCTGACTGAAAACCAAGAATGAAAATTCAAAGTAAAAGTGAACAGTAGACCAACTGAATGTTAGTGATACCTACACCTATAAGTCACACACTTCCTCAGAGCCCACGAAACTCATTCCAAAATACATCACATTTATCCCATAAAAAAGTATTAACAAACACAGGAGAATTTCTTTTAAAAAGCTTAATGTTAAAGCCTTTTGTATACTAATATATCTGATGTAGCTTTGTTTTCTACACAGAAAGCTTAACAGTGTGACATGCGGCACTGGGTTATGAGACTAACATATTTGGGACACATTGCTGGGAACACTAAGGAAATGGTTTTCTGGGTATACACATATGTACACTGCTTATATGTAAATAGCCATGGCTCCCTTATAATGACCTGATAAATTTCTTTTAGCTATAAATTGATTCTGTGTTCCAAATCAATAATTTCTAGAAAACAAATACAGAAGGCTGTCACTACCACTTATGCTTGAATCAAATGACAGGGCGGCTCTCAAGACAGCGTTAGTATGTTTTTTTTTCTTAATTTAGAAAATAACTGCTTTATTTTTGACATGTTAGTGGATGAAATGCACTCCAAATTCAATCTTTTGTTTCTACTAATGTGAATATCCAAATAAAATCATTTTTATTTGAAGAATTTCCAAAATGTTACCTAAAACCCATGAGGTTAACATCCCATATGTAATTTTCAATTGGCCAACATAAACTTTAGTTGAAAAAAGGATTTGTGCTTGTACTAGAGCAGCATAAGATACTTGAACAAGAAATGATATTTTACCCACCCTTTTAATGTCTTATTTCTACATATAATCCTCCCACATGCTAGCGTATGGACTAGGAAAATTATTGTGCAATGATACCTTGATTGTCACATATCCAGGCTCCTTTAATTTGTCTAAAAAAGTCTTTCTTCTGGTTAAAATGTAAATGAAGGCATAGAAGTTTCATTTCTTGTGCTTGTAACATGATTTTTTAAATATATATATGGATCATTCAACAGATTTTTGGTTTATTTTACTGTCAAGCAGAATTT